GAAAACATCAACATGTTGTGCGGTCGTGTAGATCGCGCGTGGTGTCACCAATAAACAAACGCATTTGTATGCACTCAACACCAGAACGCAACATAATAATACTTATCTAATTGAACTAAAGTCCAAATTCGATAAACTATAACCTCTTTTCTTCTTCTACTACGAATGGCCTTTGTAAGCGCGTCTTTAGGTTATCCGATCCGATATCGTATAGGAGAAGGCTTAAGTGTAGGAGAGCCATGGTTAGGCACGAAAAGGTCGGCTGGAGTGATACCACGGCCTCACCGAAAACCGGAGCGAAACAACCACAGCGTTGTTCGCCGTGTGACTGAGGTTACCGGAAGCCCAATCTTTCCGCCTCCAAGAGCCAATAGACCACCACAGACGGGGCCCTATAGGGCTTCTGTTCAGCCGGGGTTGCGGGGTAAGTGCAATGAGGCACCGCGACCTCGGCCCAGAGCAGGAGAAGAAACAGGGGAGTTTTTAGTCAGTAAGAGTCTGACACTCTCTCTCGCCTTACCCAGGGTGACAGAAGTCATTTGATGATATTTCCCTGACAAAAAAAAACTCCAAACAGTCAATTTCTTCATTAGATAACCAATAAAGAAAGGAGTGGGTTTTCTCATACATTTTACTACTGTATAGAGTTCAATATTAATACTGGATCGGATAATTTAAAAATGACCTATAAATACAATTATTATATATCTCTTTCTCGTTCGCACTAATTGTTTTTGCTTTATCGGTTTCTTGATTGCCTTTAATTCAGCATCAATGAATCTAAATATAAATGTAAGGAATGTCAAGAGGGTCACAACAAGATACTTGGGCAATTCTGCTAACGAATTAATTTTATAATTAGTTTATTATGACATAATAAATAAATGAATGTAGGTATGCAATTATGTCACAATTCAAGTTAAGCAATATGTATAAATTTTATTCCTCGCTTGATTTAAGTGACAAATGCTCAACCAGTTTCGAGTCACAGCGGGAATCTTATACATGAGCAGCGTGATGATGATATGGCTCTCGATAGTTGGACATCTAAGAAAACCTTTTTGAAACAAAACGAATACTTAGTATTTTTGTTGAGTCGGTAAAATAATATCTTAGTGATATAAATGTTAAGGCGCCCCATCTCATGAGGGTGTGGATGCGAAACTTGGCTAGTACCAGTGTGACTTTTACTGGGTTATATGTATTTTATTATAAGTTTTAAATCGCCAATTCGCTTTGCGAAAGCGTGGTGCTTATTGCTCGAAACTTGGCTCAGCAGTTAGAACATAAAGTATATTTGATATCAGCTTAACTCTTGTTGTCAGTGCCTCGAACAAAATTTAAAAAAAAGTTTTCAAAGTTTTAGGTAGTCTATGTCATACATATTTAATATTTGTTAGCTACTGCGCACATAAAATTCTTTAAAAGACACATTTGTTTCAATATATTTTGCTGTAATTATATTTATTTTAAATTTTATTGTAAATAAAAATTGTATGTAAACGAAATGAGATGCTGCTGAATAAATATAAAAGTAACATTGGCAAAGATGATGTTCAGCGAACAAATACATCTTCATGGAACATTATTTCGATAATATCTATGTTTAAAAATATAAAATGATTTACGTAAATCACATTTAATCTTGTCGTGGTAGCCCGAAGGTTAAGGAGCCCGCTTCTCATGCATGAGGGTTCGAAACCTAGCAAGAACCAATGTGACTTTTTCCGAGTTATATGCACTTTCTGTAAATTATTTAGACAACAATGACATTCGCAAACATCGTGAGGAAACCTGGACTTATAATGACTTATTATAAGTTTGCGACCCGCATTGAGCAAGCGTGGTGTTTAATGCTCTAACCTTCTCCGTGTGAGAAGAGGCCTTTGCTCAGCAGTGGGCACTTATAGGCTGATGTTTATGATATTTAATCTTAAGCTCTATGGAATCATCCGACCAGGCGAGGTGATCACGTCTATCGGGCTACGGCCCAACATTTGCGCGATGTAGAATTTGTGACGTCATCAGATAATTTTATTATAGTTGTGGAAGCTATCGTATCTATAGATCTTCTATGTAAGTCCGTCACCACAAAGGAACAAGGTGGAATGCTTCAAGATAGCGCGTGAATTCTTTTTTATATTTAATAAAGGATAGTATACTAATAATGAAACATACTTAGTACTTATACTTGCGGTAATATATGTATTTACTATAAATATAATATTATAAATCACTAATTACATAATAACATTTTCAAAGGGTGATTCTCTTCTTAGTCGTGCACTCTTGACAGAGTGGTGGTGGTCATGTGTCGGTCGAGTCTTGCGCCACCGCCTCTCTTGCGATGCGGCGCCATGAACTTCTATGTTTGGCGGTTTGGGAGTATTCTTTGACGATGCCATGCATCACCGATTTGATGAGGTCTGTCCACCGTGTTGGAGAGCGTCCACGTGATCTTTTGCCCTCAACTTTCCCTTGCACTACCAGCCGCTCCATTGAGTCCTCGTTACGGGTGATATGCCTGAAGAACTTGAGAATTCGTATTAGCACTTACGACGGACCTTACATTTCATCAATCGTACCTTAGTGGTTTGGTTATTCTACGGTCTTTCCAAATTTAGTTTTTTCACTGAGGAACTAGTTATGGCGTAGCGTCTCCGGATTTCGTCTTCGCAGCCCCCATCATTGGTGACTACTTCCATGAAATGCTGCTTTTAAAAACTATTAATTAATCAAACTCCAAGCGAACGCTGGCATTCGCGCAGCTATTGTTATTATATTATGACTCGAATAACCAGGATTGAAAGGTTTAAAATCGACAGCAATATAAGGTTTACAAATTTTTTTCCTAATTTTATTTTTATTTACTTATTTAATTTATCTGCGAGCAAACCGATGGATCACATGATAGTAAGCAATAGTTCTTTCTAGCCCTAGGGTTAGGGTCTGTTCCTTCATAAAACTTACACGGAAAAACACCACACTGTTATTTCACTCTAGTTTTCTGAGAGGAGATGGTGTCACTCCACCCAAATCACTTAATTCGTTCCGAAGTATGGCTGCCCCTCCGGTAAAAACTTTATTACAATACCAAATCTACAACTACAAACATAATATGACAATGATAATACTTAGTGAAGAAATATTTTTGTTACTTTCAAGTTTAATTTTCATTATACAATTATTATTTCAATCTTACCTAAATTGTTACAATTACAACACACGGTAGCACTAAAGATGGATTAATTTAATGAAGAATTTGCAATTCATTACAATTATGCTCTTAAAACTAATTCAATGTCGGCCTTACTTTCAAAAAATATCTTAAATACGTACAAAAAACTTATGTGTAATTGCAGATGAATGGAATAAAAAAATGTAACTACATGTATTTTGACTACCGACTGTAGCTAACGAAACAGACTTTAACAACACACTATTTGACTGTTATTTATATGGTACTTTTAAACCTTACCTGCATTTTCAGCCAAACTTACTCCAACATCAACCTCGGCCTAGAGCAGGAGAAGAAACGGGGGTTTTTAGTCAGTAAAAGTCTGAGACTCCCTCCCGCCTCGCCAAGGGCGGGAGATGTAATTTGATGATTTTCTCCTCACAAAAAACCCATATAAGTGCATTCAATACTTATTTTCAGGGGTGTTAAGGAGCTCCGTAACCGTAACCGAAACTATCGGATATCCGATATAAAAAATCATCCGTAACCGTTAACTCTGCCATTGCCGGTCCCAAGCCCGGATGAGAAAAGAAGAGGGTTGGCTACCAATGACGAAACTACCCAACATCTGAGTTAGCCGTAAAAATCGTCAACGCCAAGCCACGGGCGGCGGTCAAATAACCCATAAAGTTGGCTATCGGTAACCATGAGTGACTAAATATCCTCAGAAAAAAACCGAGGGCAGGTGCCTGGGAAACATCTGCTACAAACCTCCCACTCTCTTTTAATGAAATTATGGAAGATATAGAATGCGATTTGTCATGCGATCCGGCTAACCCCCGGCGCCATGAGGTACCCGGGCCTCATGGTGTGAAATCTGTTACCGAAGACTGCGTAGGGGTAGGTAACCAGGCTCCTACACCAGTGAATACTACTGGAAAACGACTTGTACAACAGATATTCCATCCTAGCCTGTTTGTCAGAACGAGAAGTTCATCGCTGGGAAGCACTTCCCAGTTAGAAGCTATTACTACAATGCCGGAGAACCCGGAAGCGCCAATACCAAAACCACCAGATTGGCAAAGAGTTCCTGAAAGCAGAAATCACAAAAGAAAAAGACAAAAACTTCAGTCTCCATCACCAGAAAAAATCACGACAAGCAATAGGTACAGCAGTTTGCCACTAGACCCGAAGGAAACTGTAAAAAAGACAGCAGATAAAAGACCTACTAAACCTCCACCCATAATATTATATGGCGTTGAAGACGTAAATAAACTTATTGAATTGTTACAAACCGCAGCAGATAAGGACCAATTTACAATAAAAATCGTCAGCAGAAACCAACTGAGAGTAACATGTGTAGACACAGCAATATATAAAAATGTCATTACTCTAGTCCGAAATAAAGGCCTCATAGGACATACCTTTAACTTAAAAGAGCAACGCTGTTACAGAGTAGTCATAAAAAATCTACACCATACAACTCCACATAGCGCAATAATGGAAGCCATTGAAAACACCGGGAACAAAGTCTATGGTGAAATTATAAATTCTAAATTTGGACCAGACAAAAATCCCACCTCTACATTTTTTGTCAACATTGAACCAGGACCTAACAACTCGGCAGTTAAAGATATTAAACATATCCATCATCAATCAGTAATAGTTGAAGATCCAAAAAAGAAAACCACATTGCCACAATGTCAAAGGTGCCAACAATACGGTCATTCCAAAAATTATTGTATGAGACCTTACCGATGTGTTAAGTGCGCCCAGGGACACAAAACCGCAGATTGCCCAAAGAAAGACCGTAACACACCAGCACAGTGCGCTCTCTGTCAAGGAGCACATCCGGCCAATTATAAAGGATGTGAAGTATACAAAGAGATTTTGGAAAGACGTATGGCAAGAAACCCAATAGTCAAGGATAAGACACGAGAAATGCCAAATAAAACTGCTCCGACACATACTATACCAAATATTAAAGAAACACAAGGACAACAGCTCTACTCAGACATATTAAAGAAGGGAAAACCCGAGCCAACACCATCAACTAGCTTAAATAGCAAAATAGAAGAATTACTTATCAAACAGTCGGAAAAATTCGACATTATCTTACAACAAATGAGCACTCTTATGAACCTCATAGTGACCCTAGTTGAAAAAATATCGAAATGTCTGCCCTGAGAGTAGGCACCTGGAACATCAATGGCCTTGCTCCAAATAAGGCTGAATTAGAACTTTTGATTAACCATAATCAACTTGATGTTATTTTGATCTCTGAGGCACACTGCACGGATAAAAGTAGAGTCAATATCAAGGGGTGCAACACGTACATTACAAATCATCCTGATGGAACTAGTCATGCGGGAACGGCCGTTGTAATCAGAAACTCCATCAAACACCAAGTGCTTCCAGAATTTAGGACAAATCATATCCAAGCTACGACAATTGCAGTGGAAAGCAACTGTGGACAGCTTAACCTATCTTCAATATATTGTCCACCAAGACATACAATTAGTGCATCAGACTTTACTGAATACTTCTCAACATTAGGTAGAAGATTTGTGGCCGGAGGTGACTGGAACGCCAAAAATACTTACTGGGGATCAAGGTTAACAACAACTAGAGGCAGGCAACTAAAACTAAGCCTAGATGAAAACAAACTCAATTGTATCTCATCAGGAGAACCAACTTACTGGCCTGCAGATCCGCATAAAAAACCAGATCTGTTGGATTTCTTCGTGACCAAAGGACTCTCGACAAAATACATGAAGGCTGAATCATGCCTAGATAGTAGCTCTGATCACACTCCTGTTTTTCTCACAGTTAGTACGACTGTTATTAGCTACGAAAGGCCTGATGCATTGTGTAGTGGTCTTACTGATTGGGAAGGCTTTAGAGAATACATAGACGACAGTATTGAGTTGCAAGCCTCCTTAAAAAAACAAGATGAAATAGATGAAGCAACTCAATACATTACTAACCTTATTCAGAAAGCCAGCTGGATTAACACCCCAAAAAAGGATACAATTGGCAAAGTGCTTGGGAATGTGCCTCTTGAGATCAAACTCAAAATATTAGATAAGAGAAGGTTACGTCGAATATGGCATCAAACTAGACACAAAAGTGATAAAACTGCTCTCAATAAAGCGATTAAAGACTTAAAAACCTTGATAGATGACCTCAATAATGCCACACTGCAAAATAAACTAGAAAATCTATCTAGCACAAAATCGACAGAATACTCACTCTGGAAATTTACAAAGGCACTACGCCGACCGCAACAATATAAATGCCCCATTAGAACTCCGTCTGGCTGGACAAAGACAAGTAAAGATAAGGCCAATTTGCTTGCAAAACATCTAGCCGCTGTCTTTACACCTAATGAAGGCAACAATGCGGAGTTTGAAAACGAAGTTGAATGTACACTGCAGCAGGACCTACAACTATCCCTTCCACCTAAGCCAGTTACTGTTGGAGAACTGAAGAGGACCATAAACGGACTACAAAACAAAAAAGCCCCTGGTTTTGATCTCATCACAAAAGAAGTAATTGTGCAACTTCCCAAGAAGGCACTGGTTTTCTTGGTTGTCCTTTTCAATGGAATACTTCGTACACAGTATTTTCCTAGATTATGGAAGGTATCCATAGTGACAATGATCCCGAAGCCAGGAAAGCCACCTGAAGACGCTACATCGTATAGACCAATAAGCCTCTTGACTGTCCTGTCCAAGGTGTTTGAGAGGATCCTACTGAGCAGAATATCACCCATACTTAACGAAAACCTAGTAATACCCAAACACCAATTTGGATTCAGACAACAGCACTCTACGGTGGAACAAGTGCATCGGGTGTGTGATAAGATAAGAGAGTCCTTTGAAAAAAAGGAATACTGCTCCGCTGTATTTTTGGATATCCAAGCTGCCTTCGATAAAGTATGGCATAAAGGCCTTCTATATAAACTAAAAAAGTATCTTCCGCATAGTTACTACCTACTGATGGAGTCATACCTCACTAATAGGATTTTTCAAGTAAGAGAGGATGGAGAACTTTCAACCATACAAGACATCATGGCGGGAGTTTCACAGGGATCAGTCCTTGGCCCTGTGCTATATTCCATCTACACTGCTGACCTTCCGGAAACAGGAGGCGTAACAACGGCTACATTTGCTGACGATACTGCAGTTCTCGCAAGTAGCAGGGACCCAATCGCAGCATCTGCCGCCTTACAAAATAGCCTAGACAAGGTACATGAATGGATTCAAAACTGGAGAATCAAAGCAAGTACTACAAAATCTGTACATGTAACATTTACTCTGAGGAGGGGCAACTGTGCTCCAGTAAAAATGGGCGATAGTATCCTGCCACAATGTGACTCGGTCCGATATCTTGGCAAGGTAAGCATATCAAATTGAAGCGAGACGAGCTAAACATTCGATTCCGGAACATCTACTGGCTGATGGCACGTAACTCAAAACTGGCAATAGACAACAAGCTGTTGATTTATAAAATGATCCTGAAGCCAATTTGGACATATGGCGCACAACTATGGGGAAGTGCTAGCAACTCCAATATACAAATAGTCCAAAGGCTGCAAAATGGAATCTTAAGGACAATTTCAAATGCACCATGGTTCATTACCAACACAGAGATCCACGAAGCACTGAACGTAGGAACTGTTAAGGAAGAGTTAAAACTAACAGGGACTAAATACAAAACACGTCTGGAAAACTATCCATATAACCTAGCTTCCGCGTTAGCAACTGTCACCTACACTAAACGACTGAAACGCCATGATATTCAACATCTTGGTGACCGGTGGTGAAGGATGAGGGGTCTCCTGCTGAGGGGCTCCCTACACATGTGAATCATCAAAGAACAAATCTGCTTATAGTTTGTGACTGATCGCAGATTAGCACGGAAAAAAAAAAAAAAAAAAAACCGTTACCGAATCCGAAATAAAAGTTTCGGGTAGTATCGGATAGGGGCGGAGCCTAATTGAGACACGTTATGACAAGTTGTTTTGACCGACCGGCCGCTGCAAGTGCCGACACACACTGCGCGCATTGTTTGTTTTTTTTTTCTTCTTTGGCAAATGTGTTGGTTGTGTTACGGAATCGATTGAATTTGTACAAAATACGTCCAAGTCGAGTGCAGTTTGGTCGTTTTTTGATGAAATGACCGATTCCGCAAAATGTAAACAGTGTGGTAAAAGCTTTTCAAGGAAAGGAGGTGGGAGTACATCGCTAAAACTTCACCTTAAATCACAACATATAAGTACGAAGAATTTTACTTTTAAAATTCCTTACAAATATAATATCCGTAACCGAAACTAACGGATAATCCGAAATAATTTATTATCCGTATCCGTAACCGTATCCGGTATAATAATCATTCCTATATCCATTTCCAATCCGTAACCGAAATTTCATATCCATAACATCCCTGCTTATTTTAAACAACATTCACAAAGAAAGTTTTCAATTCGGTTGCTTTGTTAGTGTCCTTATAATTTATTGGGTACAATGTGCTAATAGAAATAAACCGAAAATACTCAGTAACACGTTATACAAGTCAAGAACAAAGTTTTTTTTCCCCTTAATTGCAACGGTTTTGAGAGGATGCGGAGGGCTTGTCCCTTTAAAAAAAGGGGGGGGCCACGTATCTACAATCGCAGTAATTTTTTAAGCCAAAATACAAATTTTTGTCAGTAAAATGTACCTATAAAGTGGTTTGATACAAAACACAAAACTGATATTTACTTAATTAATTGTAAGACTCGGTGTAAACTCGAGAGTTTCAAATTGTGTAACACGACCTCGGTTATATTCTTACGATGAACAAATTCTGACAACTTGAACAAGATACTGTCATAATATTTGTTGGTTATAAGCAGCCACTAGAGTGGTGAAGGACCCTAAAATGTATTTTTTTTTATGTGATAGGTCGGCAAACGAGCAGACGGATTACCTGATGGTAAGCAATCAGCGATGCCTATGGACACCCGCAACAACAGAGATGTTACGAGTACTTTTTGGGAGTTAGGGATTTGGGAGATTTAGGGATTGGGGAGGAGGAATCCTCCCCCTCCCGATCGATGTTGCCGATTCTTATGGGTTGAGGGATTAAAGGATGTGATATTTGACGATTGTCGATGGGAAAGGATTTGGCCTCCTGTCACGTCACTTACACGCTGAGCCGGGCCATTCGTGCGGAAGAAGCTCTCGAAAGCAGCGCCGCCCATGGTCACCCGCAACGGAGGAGTTACGAGTGCTTTTAGGGATTAGGGATTTGGAGATTTAGGGATTGAGGAGGGATTGGGTGAGGGGAAGGAGTGGGCCTCCGGTAACCTCACTCACACGGCAAAACATAACGCTGTGGTTGTTTCACGCTGGTTTTCTGTGAGGCCGTGGTATCACTCCGGTCGAGCCGACCCATTCGTGCCGAAGCATGGCTCTCCCACACTTAGTGTTAGTAGTATGGGTTTAGTCTGACAAACTGAAGTATGTTAATAATACATATAATAAAATAAGTAATATATAAGTGATAAGTAGTTTCAACTGTTTGGTAATTTGAAAACCTTTTGTTCTCACATATGACTGAAAGTTGCAGATGCAGTTGAGGAACTTGTAGACTTTTCACGAATGTTCTGCGGAAAAACAAATGAAATACTAAAACAAACTATATATTCATCTCATCATTCATCATTGAGCATTCTTTTAATAATAATAGTAAATATTTTATCCAATAAATATTTGACCCAATAATGATTGAATTTTGCCAAAACTCAAAATGTCAAAGTCGTCGGCGTTACCCATTCGCGACCATTTTTTCTATATTTCTTGTTTTATGTGATATGTCAGCAACGAGCAGACGGATTACCTGATGGTAAGCAATCAGCGCCGCCTATGGGCACCCGCAACAACAGAGGAGTTACTAGTATGTCGCCGACCTTATGGAATTTGGAGATTTAGAGATTGGGGGAAGGGAAGGTTTGGGCCTCCGGTAACACAACTCTGTGATTGCGCAGAGGCCGTGGTATCACTCCGGTCGAACCGACCCATTCGTGCCGAAGCATGGCTCTCCCACACTTAATATACAAAATACATGGACCAATGAATACCAAAGACGTACCTAATACGAACGTTTGTTTAACGTTGTCTTGGCACTATTTCTCCAAGGAT